CCCTGAATAAAAGCTAAGCAGTTCCTCGTTTGCTTTAAGCAATTGCTAGTGAATAGGGATATTTCTAAACTACTGTATATTTAGCATTTCACATGTTTGTTTAGAAAAAAGGAATTGAGATGTTAATTATTTAGTGCACTGATAGAAATTGCTATCTAGCTGAGTTACCACAGAGTTAGGTTTTGTCAGCTAAGGCAGATGAGTTTTAGTAATTCTGTTTCTTTGTTTAGGACCTTGTAAATGCATCTGACAGTGATTGTAAAAATTTATTGCTATCAGGGCCAGCACTGTGGCACAGCAGGTTAAGTAGCGACCTGCAGTTCTAGATCCCATATGGGCACTGGGTCTAGTCCTGGTTGTTCCGCTTCCAGTCCAGCTCCCTGCTAATGGCCTGGGAAAGCAGTGAATCATGGCCCAACTACCTGGGTGGCTGCACCCACTTGGGAGACCCGGAAGAAGCTCCTCACTCCTGGCTTCGGTCTGGCCCAGCCCTGGTCCTCCCAGATGTTTGGGGAGTTAACCAGCAGATGGAAGATCTCTCTATGTGTGTGTGTCTAACTTCTCTGTAACTCTTTTAAAAAAAATGTGTTGCTATCGTACTATAAATTTGATCTCTGTGACCATTTCCTTTTCCTAAAATTGCTGGATGGCATACATTTGTTTCTTTAATTAAATTTTTGTTCTCAGAATCATTTAGTAATTTAATGAACCATAGTACCTCTTCCCTTAGGATACTTTCATTGGTGACATCCTGAGGATGGTAAAAACAACAGCAAAGACCAGGGAATCAAAATTAGTTTGAAAATGTAAATATTCTTAGTGAACATATCTTGTGAATTGTTAAACTGGTGTTTATATTGTTCTGCTGTATAAAAAGAAAAACTAAAACTTTTTTGTTAAATTGTCCTAATACCAGTTTAAGTAATTCAGTACATCACAAAATATCAGTAAGCTTCACATTATGTAGAATACAGGGACTTTTTTTTTTTTTTTTTTTTTTACAGGCAGAGTGGACAGTGAGAGAGAGAGAGACAGAGAGAAAGGTCTTCCTTTGCCATTGGTTCACCTTCCAATGGCCGCCGCGGCCGGCGCGCTGCGGCCAGCGCACCGCGCTGATCCGATGGCAGGAGCCAGGTACCTATCCTGGTCTCCCATGGGGTGCAGGGCCCAAGCACTTGGGCCATCCTCCACTGCACTCCCTAGCCACAGCAGAGAGCTGGCCTGGAAGAGGGGCAACCGGGACAGAATCCAGCGCCCGACTGGGACTAGAACCCGGTGTTCCGGCGCTGCAAGGTGGAGGATTAATCTAGTGAGCCGCGGCGCCGGCAATACAGGGACTTTCAAAAGTATATTCTATTATGGACGGCGCCATGGCTCAATAGGCTAATCCTCCACCTTGCAGCGCCGGCACACCGGGTTTTAGTCCCGGTCAGGGCACTGGATTCTGTCCCAGTTGCCCCTCTTCCAGGCCAGCTCTCTGCTGTGGCCCGGGAGTGCAGTGGAGGATGGCCCAAGTGCTTGGGCCCTGCACCCCATGGGAGACCAGGATAAGCACCTGGCTCCTGCCTTCGGATCAGCGTGGTGCGCCGGCCGCAGCATGCTGGCCGTGGTGGCCATTGGAGGGTGAACCAACAGCAAAAAGGAAGACCTTTCTTTCTGTCTGTCTCTCTCACTGTCCACTCTGACTGTCAAAAAAAAAAAAAAGTATATTCTATTCATGATAAAAAATACTCATTAAACTAGGGAAAGATACTCTGATGAAGAACATCTATGAAAACATCCTAAGCTAGAACTTAATGGTGAAAGACTAGATAGTTTCCTGCAAACATTAGGAGCAAGTAAGGATAATTGTATAAATTTTATTTCTGTACAGAAGTGAGCAAAATAAAAATGAAGAATGGAAAATAAAATTAAGGAAGCAATTCTATTTACTTTAGCATGAAAAGCAATAAAGTATGTAGGGATAAATTTAGCAAAATACATTTTTATTTGGCCTAGCAGTTAAGATGCCTGATAGGATCCATCCCATATTGGAGTACCTGCTTTAATTCCCAGCTCTACTCCTGATTCTAGCTTCTTTTTAATGTGGGCCCTGGAAGGCAGCAGAGATGGCTCAAATAGTTGGATTCCTGCCACTCATGATAAGTTCTGGCTCCTGGCTTTGACCCTTTGGCTGTTGTGGACATTTGGGGAATGAATGAGCAGATGAGAATCCTCAGCCTTGCTCTTGCTCTCTCTGCCTCTCAAATCAATAAGTTAAAAAAAAAAAAAAGAATGTAAAATGTACTTCAGAAATTATAAAATACTTATTAAAAATTAAAGAAGACCTTAATAGAAATACATTTCATGTTTATGGATTAGAAGACTCAGTATTATTTAGAAAGCAGTGGTCTTCTAATTGATAAACAGATTTAGTGACTTATCAAAATTTAATTGCCTTTTGCAGAAGTTGATAAGTGGAACTCTGTATTAGTTTCCTAAGGCTGCCGTAACAAATTACTAAAAGCTAGGTGCCTTCAAAGTACAGAAATTTATTGTTCCACAGATCCAGAAAGTAGAAGTCCACAATCAAGGAGTTGATCAGGGAGCGTACTCTTTGATAACTATGTACAAGGATGATCAAGGATACTTAAAAAAAAATTCTTGAAAAAATGGAATAAAAGTAAGAGTTTATTGTGCTGCAATGTTATGAAAAAAAAATTCATGGATTTAAGAAATTGCATCAAAAAACCCTCACTTAAAATTTTTTCCATGAATTTTTTGGTATCTCCCCGTATTGGTTAGTTTTTCATTACTATAATGAAATATTCTAGGCAGGCTAACTTTAGAGAAAGGAGGCTTATTCAGCTCATAGATTGGGAGGCTCAGAGTCCAGATAGCATTGTGCAGGCTTGTGCAAGGGACCTCGTTGGCTGCATTTACCTCATTTAGATGGCAATGGTATGTGCATGTGTAAAAGAGAGATAAGCTTGTGAATCAAGAAGCTAGAGAGTATATCAGTGATTGGGCTTGCTCCTAAATTTACTCTCGTGAGAGGTTAGGTGCTTCCACAAGAACTACCTTAATTTCGTCTGAGGGCAGTTCTCCCAGTAATCTAAAAACTTCCCACTAAATCCCGACTCTTAAAAGGTCCACACCATCTCCTAACATCACCATACTAAGTGCCACACCTCCCATATATCAACCCTTTGGAGAACACACTCAAACCACACCTGAATCGTTGTAGGGAATAATCTTCCTTGCCTCCTAGTGCCTGATGTTTGTGAACAATCCTTGGCATTAGTTGTCATGGTCACTTCGATGTCTTCTTCCTGTGTCTTATTATATCATCTTCTCTCTGTGTGTCTGTGCTTAAAATTCTCTCTTTATACAAGGACACTAGTTGTATAGGATTAGAGCCCACCTAAATGACCTCATTTTGACTCAATTACTCCCATAAAGACCCTTTTCTAAATAAAGTCACATTATTAGGTACTCAAGGGTAGAAGTTAGTGCTTCCAGTTCAGCCCATAACTGACTCTGAAAAGTTCAAATGAAAAGAACAGACTTGGAAGTCTCTGATTTCTCCATTTCAGAATTTACTAAAGCTATAGTAATCAAGCAGTGTGATACTTATGTAAGGATAGACATAGAGATAAAAGGAGTGCAGGGGGCCAGAGTTGTGGTATAGCTGGTAAAGTTGTGGCCTATGATGCCAGTATCTCATATGGGCTCCAGTTCATGTCCTAGCTGCTCCACTTCCAATCCAGCTCTCTGGTAATGGCTTGGGAGACACAGTAGAAGATGACCCAAGTGCTTGGGCCCCTGCCTGCTATGTGGGAGACCTGGATGAAGTTCCTGGCTCCTGGTTTCAGACTGGCCGCCGGTTCTTGTCCTGGCTGCTCCACTTCCTATCCAGCTCTCTGCTGTAGCCTGGGAAAACAGTAAAAGATGGCCCAAGTCCTTGGGCCCCTGAAACCGTGTGGGAGACCCAGAGGAAGCTCCTAGCTCCTAGTTTTGGATTGGCCCAGCTCACTCCGTTGTGGTCATCTGGAGAGTGAGCCAGTAGGTGGAAGACATCTTTATCTGGCTCTCTGTAACTCTGCCTTTCAAATAAATAAATAAAGCTTAAAAACACACACACATGCATACACAGTGTATTGTATAGCAGGATCCTTTACCCTTGTGATTGCATGACTGGCTGGGAACTGCGGCTCTCTGCCACTGCCAAACCTCACAAAAGAGTATCATACTACATACCACTTTTTTCTAGCCCAGGAAAAGATCAGAATTCACAATTGGAAGTACAGTTTCTACTGAATACTCTCACTTTTGCACCATTGTAAAATAAAAAAATCTGAGGTCAAATCATCGTTAGTTAGAATTTGGTTGTATTTGCAATCTATTAGTGAAATATAGTAGGTATAATTTAATGGTTAAATGGTTGAAAGTTGAAAGGTGAAAACTAGGTTTATAACTCAGTGTTTTCAATTTATCATGTTCATTTGGCTGCCATGAAATCTTGTACTCTCAAGGCAGAAATGCATCTAAAATTTGTATTTGTACAGTCTTTTCAGTTTATAGATAGGGAAACTGAAGCCTAGAAGAGGTTTCTTTATGTCCCCAAGGTCATAAACCAAACAATAACATTGTAAAAGATTGACCTGCTTTTGTTTTTTAAAAAAATAGCATATTGGTTTTTCTCACAAACATTTCCTGCCTGTTGTGCCCCACTGAACCTTTTACGTGACTTTTTTTCTCATTCTGATGCCTGGGAGACTCTTTTTCTCCTTAAGTTTAACAAGGATACTTTTTTCATTCTGAGTCTCTCCTTTTTGGCATATAGTACTTTTTTGTCCTATAGACAACATTTCTCTCAATTTTAAGGAAATTTGTCTCTTTTGGTACTTTTTCTATTTATTTGTAGAATTTGTAGAATTCAGACTTCCAACAATAATTATTCTTGTGTAGAATCATCTTTCTTCTCTACATTTCTCATCTTTTCCAGTTAATCTCTTGATTGATTAAATTGGCTGCGATTTCCTCTTCTCCCCTCCATTGATTTTTTTAGTATATTTTTTTTTTCCTGTTTCTAACTTATAGATTTGTGATTGTCTTGCTAAGCTAAAAAATAAATTGAGAACTGTGGTAGCTCTGGCTGCTGTAACAGAATATCATAGACTTGGGTGGCTTTAAACAGAAGTTTTTAGTTTTGAAGGCTGGGAAGGCCCAAGATCAAGGTGCTGGCAGATTCAGTTCTTGGTGAAGAACCTCTGGCTTTTAGATGGCTGTCTTCTCACTGTATCCTCCTATAGTGGAGATACTCTGGTATCTCTTCCTCTTGCAAGGGCATTAAACCCTTCATGGGAGCCCCACCCTCATGACCTCACCTAAACTTAATTGCCAAAGACCCCACATCCTGATACCATCATAATGGGGCTTATTGCTTCAACTTGTTTATTTTGGAGAGGGTACAGAGATTCAGTCCCTAACAATATCTGTGATCCAATCCCTGCAGGTTTATTTGGAAAAAGAGTTTTTTCAGATTTTAGTTAACCTAGGATTCTTGGAATTTCAAGATCATTGTAGGTTGTTTGGATGAGACCTAATCCATTGACAAGTGTCCTTACAAGAGATACATAGAAGACAACAGACACAGAGTGGAGAGATCTGAACGTAGAACCAGAGATTTGGATTATGAAGCCACAAGGACACAATTCAAGTAATACTACCAGCTACCCACAGCTAGACGAGGGAAGGATTGGATTCTCTCCTAGTGCTTCCTGAGAGAATACAGCCCTGTCAACATCTTGATTTTGGATTTCTAGTCTTTAGGACTGAGAATAATAATTTGTTACTTTAAGCCACCCGGTTTGTGGAAATTAATTACGACAGCCAAAGGAAACTAATATAAACACCAGCAGTATCCTTTTTTAAATCTGTTGTTTTATCACTTTATTTTTGGACTCTTGTTTTACTTATTTCATATTCTTAAGTTCTTCTGTAGCGCTATACTCTCGGAAGGAAGTTTTTTTCCTCCTTAGATTTTCTCCCAGTTATACTTTTTGGTTTGTATTTGTATGTTTTTCCTGCCGTATTTGTGTCACATCTTTTATTTTTATATAATACTCATTAATGAATTCTTCTTTTTCATTCTGTTCTTAATCTTTTACTTTTCTCTTAATGTGGCTGTTGTTTTTAACCCACTGTTTTGTAGCCTGATGGGTGTGATAGTGTGGTAAAGAGGGAGGTGCCTGTAGTTGATTGCAGTCTTTTTGAAGATCTGTTTGAGCATCAAATCATAGGTTTGTTCCATTTTTCTGGGCTTCCTTTTATTTCTTCTACTTAATACACTAACCTGTAAGATTATGGTCTTACAGATTATATATTACGAACTTTCTTGAGTGAAAAATATTAAGGGTAGATCTTTCCTACTCTACCATGCTCTCTCTCAACAGCTGCCTATGGCATTTTCATGGCCCACCTTTACCATATCAAAGAATGTTATGGACAGTTGTCAGTAAAAACAATTTTCTTTTTTGTTGTTACTGGAAGAAAAAGAATAGTGATACTGATTAATTTCACTTTTTCTACTTACATGACAAATTTTTTTCACTGATCATAGTTTTCTAAGCATAGCATGGCAAATATGTCTCATTTTATAAATAATTAGAGGCCATTGACTTCTCATTAACTTCAGTTATATTTAAAATATTTGGTAGCTAAAGTAGTTAAAGTATTTATCTGATTTTTTTTTTTATATAGCCAGTATGGGGGAGATGGTGGATCTTCTTGAGTTGCAGTGACTATGTATTATCAGTCATTTAATTAGACTTAGTGCTACTAATATGGCCTGCACTTTCTGTCAGTCAGCCTACTAACATTAGAGAATACTTAACAACAAAACACAAGTGATGTACATAGCATAAATAAATGAAAGTAATATTTTATAATAAAGTCATACAAGTGACTAAAATGCAAGTACTTAAGTGTAAGGTTACATCTCTTTTTTATTTTTTCACTGACTTTCTTTTTTTATGAGTATGTGTTCCAGTGCTTCTACAGAGATATAAACGGGCTTAGCCAGCAGACGCTTAGCAGGCTTGTGCTGGTCTTAATTCTAGTTAATCATTAAGTCAGGTAGATAATGGTAGGAGATGATAAATACCACCTGAAAACAGGCTATATTAAGAATGTAGGTATTTCCCACAGATAGAGTTCTATTTTAAGAGGAATTGTCTCTTAGCTTTATGTCCTTCTTGGGACACTTCAAGTTATGAGTAAGCAGTGTGGGAGATACTTTCCTCTGGTATGGATCTCCTAGGGTGTTTTTTTCCATGACCCAGTAACGAGAGGATCCAGCCAAACCTGATAGGCAGCAGCAGTGGAACCAAGTCCTATTGTAGATCCACTGTGAATGTAGGAATGTGTCATTTCAGTGGCCTTCATTTAATAGAGCCTAGTTAGCATCTCTACTAGCAAGTTTGGTACGGAGAAATGGTATACTTGGACTAACCTATTTGAATTATTGCTGGGTTCTCTTAAAGTCTGTTTGTGATGGGGGGAGGGGATTGGAGAAATGATAAGCCAGGTTTTAGAGGCAGGAAGATTGGTGCAAATTTAAAACTCAATATGGATTTGAATCCAGGAATTAGAATTAATTGTGACAATTATTTATTTTCCTATAGACATTTCCTTGTTAACAATAAACATAGCACTTATGTAGTTGTAAATTAAAAATTAATCATCGTTGAAAAATGTATGGTATATCTTGTAGAAATGAAATTAATGACTGATCTCTTATTACCGGGCTGTTTTATTTTCCAGAGTTAAAGAGATTCTTTTAAAGTTGTTAGGAGGTACTCTGACTTGTAGTTATTGTTTAAAAAGTTAAATTGTGGGGCCAGTGTTGTCATAGAGGGCCAAGCCACCACCTGCAGTGCTGACATCCTATATGGGTGCCCGTTTGAGTCCCTGCTGCTGTACTTCTGATCCAGCTCCCTGCTAATGTGACCGGAATAGCAGCAGAAGCTGCCCAAGTGCTTGGGCCTCTGCACCAACTTGGGAGACCTGGGAGAAGCTCCTGGCTCCTAGTTTTTGGCCTGGTCCAGTCCCGGTCATTGCAGCCATTTAGGAAGTGAACAAGCAGGCGGAAGACCTCTCTGTCTCTGCTTGTCTCTCTGTAACTCTGCCTTTCAAATACATAAATTATTTCTTTTTAAGTTAAATTGTAGGGGCCGGCGCCATGGCTCACTTGGTTAATCCTCTGCCTGTGGCGCCGGCATCCCATATGGGTGCTAGGTTCTAGTCCCGGTTGCTCCTCTTCCAGTCCCACTCTCTGCTGTGGCCCAGGTGGGCAGTGGAGGATGGCCCAAGTGCTTGGGCCCCTGCACCCGCATGGGAGACCAGGAAAAAGCACCTGGCTCCTGGCTTCGGATCGGCGTAGTTCCAGTGGTAGTGGCCATTTGGGGGGGTGAACCAACGGAAGGAAGACCTTTTTGTCTGTCTGTCTCACTCTCTCTCTCTGTCAAATAAAAAAAAAGTTAAATTGTAATGTTAGGTGTATTTTCCCCTCCCCCTCAATTATACAGAAAAACTTTGGCTGATAAACAGATTATATTTTATAAGGAAGTTCATCAATTATTTGGGAATTTAGAATACATTTTTCCATAGGAATTTTTCTTACAGATTTATTTTATTTATTTGAAAGAGTTACAGAGAGAGGTAGAGCCACAGAGAGGTATTCCATCTGCTGGTTCATGTCTGAATTGGCTGCAATGGCCAGAGCTGAGCCGATCCGAAGCCAGGAGCTTTTTCTAGGTCTCCCACGCAGGTGCAGGGACCCAAGCACTGGGGCCATCTTCTACTGCTTTCCCAGGCCATAGCAAAGAGCTGGATCAGAAGAGGAGCCTTCAGGACTTATGAAACGGTGCCTATATCAGATGCCAGCACTGCAGGTGGCAGCTTTACCCGCTATGCCACAGTGCCGGCCCTGTAAGTCAGTTTAATTCAGATTCTGAATTTACCATTTACTACCTGTGATCTTGGACAAATTACTGAGCTGTGCCTCAGTTTCCTCATATATAAGAAGTATTCATTTTCTTAAATTAAATGTATAAAATGTAATACAAAGCATTTGCAGTACTTTGCATATATTATAAGGTTATTCATAAAGAACCCTCCATATGTTTTGAATACTTTTAATTCAGTAATATTTATTATTTATTATTCCCACAGAATATTCTTGGGAAATAATAATGGTATTAATCTAACCAAGAGTTAATCACATACCTGGCTGAGCCAGGAGCCTCTTCCTGATCTCCCACTTGGGTACAGGGGCCCAAGGACTTGGGCCATCTTCTGCTGCTTTCCCATTAGCAAGGGAGCTGGATTGGAAGTGGAGCAGCTGGGACTCATTGGGATTCCATATGGGATGCTAGCGCTGCAGGCTGGGACTTTAATCGGCTGTGCCACAGCGCTGGCCCCCATAGGAACTTTTATAAATACATAATATTAAAATGGTTAGGTTCCCAGGCTACCCTTTAACAGCTTAATAATTAAGCTATGATTAGCTTAAATGTCTCTGTTTACAGTGACAAATTATAAAGAGTAAATAAAAAAGGCAACAGCACCCTGTATGAAAAATAGACTCACTGCCCCCCCCCCCAAATTGTAGGAATAGTAATTAAACAAAATTTTTTTTTAAAAATGAGGATTAGTTTTGAAAAGTTATCCAGAATGCTGGTAATGGATTGATATAGGGATTTAATCAGAGGGAGCTAAGCAGTGGAGATTTGTGGGAGTCTAACAGGCCTTTCTGGGTACTTTTGAGGGCTTTGCAGGAGATGGCATTGTTTTCTCTTAATATTGGTACAGAGTGATTGGTACATAGTGGAAGTGCTATCCTTTGCTTACCAGCTATGGTTAGGATTGCTTTTTAACTGTTGAAAAATACGTTCTAAGTTAGAATACAAATACAATCTGTTTATCCACTAAAGCTTTTCTGTTTAATGAGAGTAGGGGAGATACACCTAAAATATTAGTTTATCTTGTTAAACTGTTGTTATAGAGATAGGATACCTCCTAACAACTTTATAAAGATAGTAGGGAAAAGGAAGAGTGAATTTCCTTAAGTAGCTGAGATTTGAAGGCACAAAGGTAGAGTAAATCTGGGATGTAGGTTTGAAAAAGAAGTTGCTTGGGGTAGATTTAATGGTTGAGGTAAGGGAGTGTGTGGAGAGTGTAACGTGTGAATGATCCCTGATATAAAAGAGAAAAGGTGATAATATTAAAGTGATGCAATCCTGGTGTTGGTCAGAACTGGTGCTGGCTACTTTGGTGTTTTTGAACAAACTACTTGAGAGTTGTTTTTTCATCATGTTGAACAGCAGCCCCTAGCAATACTTAAATAGCTTTATATATATTTAGAATATTTCTCTTTAATAAATTCAATTATTTTTAAGCAATATGTTTCTTGAATTTATGAAAGGTAAAATATTGCGCTTTAGCTAAATTAATAGGAGTTTCCTAAAACTATTGTATGAGTGGAGGAATTTTTTCTTCATATTCCTCTTTTATTGATTGATCAGAAAAATGATGCTCCCCTACTTTTTCACTTCCCAGTATTTTTCATATTTAGAATAAGCCGACTTCAACGCCCTCCCCATGAAAAAGCAAAGCAGGAAGTATTCCTTCTAGTCCTGCAAAAAGCAGTTGTTTTCA